TCGGTCTGTTCGAGGACACTAATCTGTGCGCCATCCACGCCAAGAGGGTCACCATCATGCCTAAGGACATCCAGCTGGCCCGGCGTATCCGCGGAGAGCGCGCTTAAATTAAACGGAGCGCTCACGACTTGCTCAAAACCCCCAAAAGGCTCTTTTAAGAGCCACCTAACTGTTTCAGTCCAAAAGGGCGAGTGTTCTAGCAGCTCGAGTTCTCGTAAGTGCTGTGACGTAGCAATGGATCTTTTGCTAATGTTCTTGAGCAATTTCTTAGTCTGCCTGTAGTTCCTCTATTGTGTGGATAATGGTACACTGATAAAATACAGCAAATGTTGCGCATATATATATAGAGAGAGAGAGAGAAGCATGAGTTCATGACTAACAAAAAATATTTATATGTACATATACATATTTGTACATATTTTTATTTAAATGTAGTTTAAGCAAATTATATAATTAAAAGCAATAACAAGGCATGAGAATGTGATGTGAAAGGGAAGCCTTTTTTTTATGAGAAAAAAACGTTGGTCTCAATTTTTTGCCTTTCCTCCTTCCAGTGCATGTGAATTTATGAATGCAAGTCATTGTGTGCACATATGCATATTTGTATTAACAATTAGAGATGTTTGTCTACAGATCATTTTCATGCTCTTTTTGTATGTGTATGTATATTTATGCTTTTGAAGGCTTTCCAGTGTGGAGTCAGAAAAGACTTGTGTGTGGGGAAAATAGAAAGAGTTATAAGCTAAATATATATATATATATATGTATATATATATATGTGTGTGTGTGTGTTAGGTTAGTGTGCATGTCCAGTTCTTATGCTGGTGAATTTAGAGCATCGTTTAACTCTACTCAGTGCTGAAACGTGTTGTTTATTTTTCTCTCCCAGTAGCAGTTCCTTGACTCAGCACACCTGATTCAGCTCATCAAGTGATTATGAACTGGATCATGTGTGGTGGAGCAGGGAATAGCTGGAATACGCTGTAGTGTGGTCTGTTGTCCAAAGCACAATTAAAAAACCCTGAGCTAGGCTTTAGGACTAAAGCATGGATTTAGACGTGTGATATTGTTAGACTGTGATAAAAGTAGTTCTACATCTGGGCATCAGGTTAATGAAGAAGTTAGAATGAGTCAAAGTAACATTGGAGCTAGGTTTTAGGCTTATGATGACGCTCCAGGAAGTATGAACAGGTACATAGCAAGGCCCCAGGCTTCTGTTGTATTTAGACAAAGTAAAAGTGTGTTTATAGATAGACTGTAGGTTTGTGATGAATTGAGTAAATTGATGTGTAAGTAAAACTAGGTTTACGGCCAGGCCTTAGTGTCATGTTAAAGTTAGAGTGAGTACAAGTTTACAGCTAGGCCAGAGACGTATGATGAAATGAGACTAAGTAAAAGTAGGTTAGAAGCCAGGCCTTGGCTCTGTGATGTAGAGCCAGGCGTTAGGCTCATGATGTAGTTAGAATAAGTAAAATTAGTCCTCAGACTAATAATAAAGTGCCAGTGAATACAGGGAGGTTAAGCGGTAAGCCTTAGGCTATTGCTGACGTTAGAGTAAGCAAAAATAGTACTACATAGGGTCATCACTAATCCTTTGAAGTCAGAGTAAGTCAAGGCAGCTGTAGAGCTAGGCCTCAGGCTAAGGAGGACGTTACTTTGAGCAAGTTATTGGTTAGCCAGGCTCATGATGAAGTAAGAGTGAGCATATTTATATGTACACATTGGCCTCAGGCAAATGGTAAAGTTACAGTGGGTACAAGTAGGTTTAAAGCTAGGCCTTAGACATCTGATGAAGTTAGAGTGAGCAAAAGGAGGCTTATAGCTGGGCCTCAGACTTCTATTGAGGTTATAGTGTGTAATAACAGGTGCAGGGCTAAACCTTAGGCATATTGTGTACTTAGAGCTACACCATGGGGACATGATGAGGTTAGAGAAAGTAGAAATGAGATTAGGACTAGGGCATAGGCGTATGATGAAGTCAGAGTAAACAAAAATGGGCTTCCATCTAGGCCCCAGGCTTATGCTGATGTGCAAGTATTTAGAAACAGGTTAATGGCAAGGGCTTTGGCTCCTGATGTAGTTAGTGTTAATGAACAGAGGTAGAGGGCAAGCTATTAGACCAATGATGAAGTTCTGATGAGAAAGTAAAAGTAGGGACAGTGCAAGGCCTTATGCTCATGATAATGTTAGAAAATGCAAAGGGTGGCTTACTTCCCCACCCCCACCCAGGCCTTAATGTAGTGAACTGAGGAAGCTTGAGGTCTAGCTGTGATGCTACTACTTGAATTTCATCGTAAGCATAATGTCTTGCTATGTACCTCCTTCCATTCAGTCTAACTAGATCATGAGACTAAGGACTAACTCTAAATCTATTTGTATTTACTACAAGCCTGCAGTGGAAGTGGTAAAGTTGAAGTTGGTGAATAATAGGTATAATAGCTATGAATAATATGAATATGAATGATAATAATAATATGAATAAATGAATAATAGCTAGGCCTTGGGCTTCTACGGTAGCTAAAGTGAATGAAAAGAGGAATATAACAAGATATCATGCTTCTGATGAAGCTATGGTGAGAAAGTAGCCGTAGCTACAGAGCTATGCCCTAAGCTTATGAAGACATTAGAGTGAGCAAAACTATGTTTAGAGATGTGTTTTGAAGTTAGAGAAAGTAAAGGTGAGTTTACAGCGAGGCCTCTGGCATATGATGAGGTCAGAGTTGGTAGTATTGTGTTCAAGGCTAAGCTTTAAGCTTATGACGTATTTAAATCAAGCAAAAGTAGTTTTAGAGCTAGGCCATAGCCATATGATGAAATGAGGACGAGTGAAAGGAGGTACATGAGGTAAGATAAATAAACGTAGAGGGAGGCTTTAAACTCAGGATATGCTTGGAACAGACGGAAGCAGGCTTAGAGCTATGCATCAGGCTTGTAATGTAGACAGATTTAGTAGGTTAAGAGCCAAGTAAAGTTTACGATGAAGAATGTAAAATGAGGTACAGAAAAGGCCATTAAAGGAGGATAAAGTTAGAGTAAGCGAAAGGAGGCTGACGGCTATGCCTCAGGCTTATAATGCAGTCACAGTAAGTAATGATAGCTTTAGAGCTAGGCCCTTGGCTTATTGTGAAGTTAGAGTGAATAATACTGGGTAGGCTTTAGGCGGACGATGTAGTTAGATAAGCAACGTGATCCTCGCAACTAGGTGTCTGGCATCTGATATAGTCAAACACATAATCGGTTTAGAGCAAAGCTTTTTGCTTATGAAGAAGTTAGATTGAACAGCAATTCTCTAAGGTCTAGCTCTCTAGCTGCTGTAACAGTGAATATAATGCTAGGCCTTTGGTTTATGTTGGATTTAGTGAGTGAAAAGACGTCGAAAGCATGCAATTTGACTCATGATGAAGTTGGAGAAATGAAAGTAGTTACAAAGAAAAGGAGGCTTCCAGCTAGGCCTCAGGCTTATATCGTAGTTGGAGTGTATGTAGGAGTAAATTTAGAGCTAGGCCCCAGGCTTATGGTGAAGTTAGATAAAGCAATAGTAGGTATGGGGCTCGGCTTCAAGCTTTGGAAGTGTTTACAGTGAGCATGTGTAGGCGCACATCTAGGCCCCAGGCACATGATGAGGTCAAAATAAGTGAAAGCAGGTAAATAAGTAAGTTTCGAGTTAGAAGTGGGGCTTCTGATGTAGTCAGCCGGAATTTATTTATTTATTTATTTATTTATTTATTTATTTTATTGTGGCTTATGATGAAGTTAGAGTAAGCGAAAGGAGGCATATAGCTAGGCCTTGTGCCTTTATTGTAGTTAAATATATAACAGTGGTTTCAGTGCAAGGCCTAAGGTTCATGAGGAAGTTAGAATAAAGCACAAACCTCTATAGGCTCTATAGGTCCTAGGTTACTTACTCTATGCATAGTTTAAGTCTTAGGCTTATGACGAAGTTAGTGTGAGCAAAAGTAGCCTTTCAGCTTGGCCTCAGCCTTATAATATAAAATCGGATCAGAAAGAGTAGCTATAGAGCTAGGCCTTAGGTTTACTAAGAAATTAAAGATGTAAAGGTCAGTGAAGGGCAAGGCCTTTAGCTTCTGACGAGGTAAGAATGAGCAATATGAGCTTTTCTGCTAGGCCTCAGGCTTATAATGTAGATAGAGTGAGTGATGGTAGGTTTAGAGTTGTGCCCTAGGCTTGTGGTAAAGATAGGCTACAGTGGTAAAGTTAGGCTAAAGTTAGCTACAGTGCTACAGTTAAAGAATGTCAAAGTAAGCTTAGGGCAGGGCTTCAGACCTCAGGCTTATGATGAGGTTAGGGTGAGTGAAGAGGAATATTTGGAATGTCATTAAGCTTGTGAATAATTTAGAATGACTAAAAGTTGGTTTGGAACTAGGCCTTAGGCTCATGATGTAGTTGGATTATTGGAACTAGGTTTGTGATGACTTCATTTTCTAGTAGGATTAGAAGTTTAGTTACGGAGTTAGGGTAAAGCTAATTATGGTTAGAACGAGTTTGTGATTATTTCTCACTAGTAAAGTCAAAGTTTATTTCGCTCACGCCCTCGCCGAGGCTCTCCCCGAACGCGGCGTTGAGCTCTTCGGAGGCTCACGCCGCCGTTTTCCACCGTTTTTCACAGATTATTGCGCTAAATACACCACATCTCGTTCGGAGCGGCTGGCGTGTGGCGCCCTTTTGAGAACGCCCTGCGAAACGAGGCGTCGCTGCGCGCTCAATCCCGGACTGAGGAAACACAGCAGAGTCTCTTCTATAGGACCGAACCGTTATACGCTCGCCAAGTGCCGCTTTCGCTCTTATTTTGGCTGATAAATGCCACGAGAAAACACAAGTACGAGCGCGTCACTGAGGCACGGCTGCACAGCGCCCGCCGGGTTGAGTCTACACCGTTCTCATGTGGCTTTTAAGGGGCCGACCCCTCGCCTGAGAGGGAGGTTCCTCTGAACAGTGCAGTTCGCGCTCATTCTCGCTCCGCTCGCAGCAAAAGCATAACGATGGCAGAAGTGGCTCCTGCTCCGGCCAAAGCTCCCAAGAAGAAAAGCGCCGCCCGGCCCAAGAAAGCCGGCCCCAGCGTCGGCGAACTCATCGTAAAGGCTGTTTCTCAGTCTAAGGAGAGGAGCGGCGTGTCTCTCGCCGCCCTCAAGAAAGCCCTGGCTGCCGGCGGCTACGACGTGGACAGGAACAACTCCCGCGTCAAGATCGCCGTCAAGAGTCTCGTGACGAAGGGCACTCTGGTGCAGACCAAAGGCACCGGCGCTTCGGGCTCCTTCAAACTCAACAAGAAACAAGCCGAGCCCAAGAAGAAGCCGGCAAAGAAAGCGGCACCAAAGGCCAAGAAGGCGGCCGCCAAAAAGCCCGCCGCTGCTAAGAAGCCCAAGAAGGTAGCGGCGAAGAAGCCCGCAGCCGCCAAGAAATCGCCGAAGAAAGCCAAGAAACCCGCGGCCGCCAAGAAGGTGACCAGGTCTCCCAAGAAAGTCAAGAAGCCGGCGGCCCCGAAAAAGGCGGCCAAGAGCCCGAAGAAACCAAAGGCGGTCAAGCCCAAGGTGGCGAAAAGGGCCGCCCCCAAAAAGAAGTAAACACGCCGTTTTACCTTCGTGTCCCGTTTTTCCCCCACTCCAAAACGGCTCTTTTAAGAGCCACCCACATTTTCCCTCTCGAAGAGCTTGATTTTCGTTCTTTCTATCATAATTAGTAAATAATGATATTGTACAAAAAAAATCCAATCTGAACATAACTGAGCTGCCATTTGCAATTACATGGATGAGAATAGGAGGGGGAATGGGGTAAGCAAACGGCGGAAAAACAAGGACACGTATACGCTTCTTTGTCTCTCTCTGCCTCACACACACACACACACACAGGCGACAGCACGAATTGCGGGGGAAGCGGGGTACATGGACAAGAACGGTGGGCGGGCCCTAGAGTTTGTCGGCGATAATACGATTTGCATTTCAGCCAATAGAAACGCAGCCGCTTTGTCTATATGAAGGGTGTTCAGAAACCAGGGCCAATTGATTCTCTTTGCAGCCATCAAGTGAAGAGCTAAGCAGCATGTCTGGTAGAGGAAAAGGAGGAAATTGAAGTGTAAAGAAAAGAATTAGTGTGGTCTTTTTGACCGCAGCACCTTGCGGTGTCTGCGGTCCCTGTTTCCTACTCTTACATTTTGGATTTTCTTCCTGTTTGTGGACTTTTAAGGCACAAAGTTTCGTCTTATTACGCTGAAGGTCTCGACGCGGCAATGGCGTCTCGTGGAGCCTTCAGCGATCGCTTCATCAAATATTGGGTTAAGTTGAAATATATCGGACTTGGAGAACCACCAGACCGTAACTATGTTGGTGAACTCCTTTTTCAGTCCCAGTGGATCACCTTACAGGACATTTATTCTTTCATAAGTTTACCGAATCGAAAAGAGTTTGAAATTTGTTTCAACACAGAAAAAGCTTTACATGTGTTCCTTGAGCTGCACTCTTCCAACCAACATGCTTGGAAGGATTTTGAAGTATTTTCCCCTGCAAACCTGGATGTTAAGACACTTGTTATCAAGTTCTGGACTGGACGCATTTCTGATTATGATGTTGAACTGTACTTAAAACGATTCTGTGATGTCTTAAAGCCCGCAGTTAAACCTGTGGATAATTTTGGAATGTGGTATGGGATTAGGAAATATCAAGTAAAACTCCGCAAAGATGCTGAAGGCAAGATGATGCCCATCCCAAATTCTGTTTCCTTTGGCCCTTACAACGGCAAAATTAGCTATCAAGGTCAAGCCTCCTCATGTTATGTGTGCCAGTCTACAGGACACCAGGCTAAAGAATGTCTAGAAACGAAATGCTGGAAGTGTGGAGGATTTGGCCATAAGGCTATGGAATGTGGAAACACTGCCACCTGCACTTTGTGTGGAGACGTGGGGCACATTTTCTTCACATGCCCTAAATCCTACGCCAATAAATCCAAGCAAAAGCCGAGTGTTCCAAGACATGACAACTTACAGCGTGCGGAAACTGGTGCAGCAACAGAATTGTCAGTGGATGCTACAGTCCAGATGCTGAGTGGTCAAGCTCAAGGTGCAGTTACAATTTCTGCCAAGGATGTAGAGAAAGGAAAAGAAGCTTCCAAACATGCCCAAGGAAAAAAATCTAAAGAGGAAGCAGCCCAAATGGAGACTTCAGAAGCGGATGACGAATCAAGCCCGGATGAGAGCTCGGACAGCGACTCGTCAAGTGACTCATCAGAGAGTGGAGATTTCAGTGAGTCTTCGGAGGAAGAAAAGAAGGAACCGTCACAAAAAGGAAAGAAAGCACCGGACGAGTACACAGAGGATCAACAAATGGATATTGAAAAGACAACTGAGAAGGATCCAGAAGTTCTGAAAGTTGAAAATGAGAAACGGAAGCTGAACTCCTCGACTGAGACTGAAGGTAATGCTGTAAAGAAGAAGAAAAAAATCAGAAAAAAAGTTGAGAACTGATGTATCATGCATGCCTTTTTATAATTTACTTGTTGCTTCTTGCAATGTTCGTGGTATTCAATCTGCCTTAAATAGATCTAAAAACATTAATATATTGTTAAGAGAGAAATTAGACATATTGTGTATTCAGGAAACAAGGTTGTCTACTTTTAAAGATGTTGCTGAAGTACAAAAGTTATGGGTGAAGGGTAAGTCCTTTCTTTCAATAGGTGACAGTAGAGCAGATGGAATAGGAATCCTTTTCTTTTCTGAAAATGTTGCCGTTATCCAATTAAGAGAAATTATTCCAGGCAGGTTAATGTTTGTTGATGTGTTTTTATTTGGAAAAAAAATTAGAATAATAAATTTATATACAGCCCAAGATAGAGTTAGAAAAATACAGCTTTTTAATAAAATTAAAACTTTGCTATGTGTAGGATTTTATGTAATTGTCTGTGGTGATTTTAATACAGTTACAGATGAGAGAGACAGAATAGCAGAAAGGTCAAGTAAAATCGGTAGAGAAGGTAATGTTTTGAAACAAATAATGAACGAATACAATATGCAGGATACATTTAGAATGGTTTATCCTGATCGTATAGACTTTACAAGGTTTGATAGAACATGTAAAACTAGAATAGATAGAATTTATGTTAATAAAAAATTTACTGTAATTTCATATAAAACTAAAATGCTTATAGATTCTGATCATTTGACAGTTACATCTACAATAAATTTTTTAAATGATAAAAGTGTCAACTATTGGAAATTGAATACAAAAATCTTAAAATATCCCAATATTTTGTTGGAATTAAAAGATGAGCTTGCAAGAATTAGATCTCTAAATATTCTGACCAAAGATAAGTATGAAGTATGGGAAATTTTAAAAACACGTGTTAAAAATTATTTTAAATATAAAAGCAAATTAATTAATCAGGAAAAAAACGTGAGATATAACCATATAATGGAGCAATATATTAACTTGAAATTAAAACCATGCATAACTGCAGTTGAAGAAAATAGTTTACGTGAATTAAAGGATGAAATTGATGTTATGAATAATGAACATTTACAGAAATTGCAGATTAAACTTGGTGTTCATCTTGATGAAACTTTGAATCCATCTCAAATATCTCATCTGTTTTCAAAACAAAAGCAAAGATCTTGTGTTACTAGCATCAGAGATAAAAGTGGTATTATTATTACCGAATCAGGAAAAGTTAGACATACAATAAAAGAGCTTTGTGAGGAAATGTATCAAGAAATAGAAATAGATGTTAACATGTTAAAGTCCTTTTTGAACTTTAAATATAATTATTATTTTGATCATTTGGGAGATGAGGTTATAGAAAGTGAAGTAGTGTCTGCCATTAAACAGCTAAACACTGGGAAATCTCCTGGGAAAGATGGCTTGCCCTCGGAATTTTATCAAATGTGTATTTTTGACTTATCTAACTTACTTACACGGGTGTTTAATGAAGGTATTGGAAAAGGCTATATGTATGACACGTTTTATGATGGGGTGTTATCATTATTGTATAAAAAGGGTGATGCCAGTGATATTAACAACTGGAGACACCTTACTTTGATGAATGTTGATTACAAGATCTTTGCAAAAGTAATAATGAATAGATTAAATGATATTTTGGATTTAATCATAGCTAAAGAGCAAACATGTGCTATTAAAGGGAGAGCTATGTGGGATAATTTGAACACTTTAAGAGAACTGGTATATGAGAGTGGTGAAAGTTTTTATATTGTTACTCTTGATCAGAAAAAAGCTTTTGATTATGTCTCTAGAACTTATTTATGAGAAGTGTTTAGAATGTATAATTTTCCTGATAATTTTATTAAAATGATCATGTGTTTATATGCCAAAAGCAATATACAGATTAATGTGAATGGCAATTTGACAGATTCCTTTGAAGTTACGAGGGGTGTAAAGCAAGGTTGCCCTCTTAGTGCAGCTCTTTATGTATTGGCAATAAGTCCTTTGATCACAAAAGTTAGGAACGATGAGCGTTTAAAAGGAGTAACTGTAGGTGGAAGGAAAGTTGTGATCTCTGCTTATGCAGATGACATAACTGTTTTTATTAAATCTAAAAATGAATTAGATGCAATATTTGAACATTTTAAAATGTATGAACAAGTATCAGGAGCAAGACTAAATGTCTCTAAATCTGAATGTGTTTGGATAGGGAATCCTGAAAATAAGTTTGTGGTTAATGTACCAGAAACTCAAAATTTAAAGGTTTTAGGAATTTGTATAAACAATAAAGATTGTGTAGAGAATAATTGGAATGGAAAAGTAGAAGTTATAAAAGAAGAAGTGAGTAAATGGAAAAATTGTGATTTAAGCTATAAAACTAGAATAAATATAGTTAAGACTTATATTTTATCAAAAATTTTATTTTTATCTTGCATATTTCCACCTACAGATAAATGGCTCAAAATTATGAATAAATTATGTTGTAATTTTATATGGGATTCCACTAGAGAAGTAACAAAACGAAACTTGCTATATAAGAGGAAAGATTTGGGGGGATTAGGAGCCATAGATATCGCCATTAAAACCAAAATCTCTGTGTGTAAAATCATTGCAAATGGTATAAATAGACAAGCAGATTGGATTGGAAATATTACCAATTGGAAACAAAAAAAGGGTCGTGCTAGAACATCAGTACCCTATTATAAGTTGTTATATGGTGATTTTATAAACAAATACAAACATTTAGATATTGATTGGATTAATGATTCAAATAAAAAGATATATGGGTTAATAACTGATGAAGAGTACGGCTCAAAGGTAGAATTTAGAAATCTTGTAGGAGAAGAAAATGACACGTGTATTAAAAATCTTCTGTGTAAAAAACTTTCTGACAAACAGGGAGATCTCTCATGGCTGATGGCCGTAAGAAGGCTGCCAGTGAGAGCTGTAGTAAGATGGAGCTGCTTTGTGAAAACCACTTTATGCCCCATGCCAAATTGCCAAGAAGAAGAGACTTTAGACCATTTTTTATTCAACTGTTATCGCTCTCAAGAAGTGTGGGAGATGGTTAAGGATATGGGTTTAGAAATAAATATACATATGAAATCTATAATATATGGGATTTTTGATGAAAAAGTAGATAACAGGAAACATGAGTTCTTGTGGTTTGTCATCGCTATTGTAAAGTCTAAACTTTGGAAAACAAGATGTCGGATGACCATAGACCAACAATTCGTGTCCAGCAGAGACGTTTTTAAACAAATTAAAATTGAACTAAAGAGACTGCGGACGTTGAACACGCCATTCAAAGACGCTGACTTGTGGGACATTTTTGATTTGTAAGGTGTTAAGGTATGTGTATGTATATGCTGTCTTTCTTATGCTCTGTCTGTTTATATGTTGAATTGTTGCTAACTAAATAAAGTTTCTTAAAAAAAAAAAAAGAAACCAGGGCCCTTTATTTCAGCTGTGTTCGATGAGCTTGATTGAAGTGCAAGATGAGTGGAAGAGGCAAAATCGGCAGTCTCTTTTTTTGCACTCCTTGCGGCCCTGAAATTTGTTTTCGTCTGTTTTCTTTTCTGAGCTTATAAAGTATTTCATCGTAGTGTAGCATCAAAAAAGAAGCTACACATGAGCCCAAGGGGCGCACTGGGTCAGGCTGAGGTTTGTGGGCGAAGGTGAAGCCCCTAATCAATCTGAAGTCAGAGCTCAGCTACTACAAAGCCAGTGGATAACTGCTGCTGACATTTACACTTTCATCACCTTACCCAGTAAGAAAGACTTTGAACTGATTTTTAATCAGGAACGTGGTCTTCAGCAATTGTCAAATCTTCAGTGCTTTAGCTGGGAATGGCTTCTGGAAAGGCTGGGAGATGGACTCTTCTGCTCCACAAGATGTGCGCTTCGTGTTTGTAAAGTTCTGGACTGGGCGTGTTGCAGACACAGATATAGAACAATATCTGCTCCGCTTTTGTGAGATCTTGCAGCCTGTACATAAGCCAGTAGATCAATTTGGCATCTGGTATGGGGTCCGCCGTTATAAGGTTAAGCTCAGGAAAGCCATTGATGGTAACCTGATGCAGATCCCAAATTCCATCAGTATGGGTCCTTATAACGGCAGGATTACCTACCAGGGGCAAGTACAGCGCTGTTATGTGTGCGGCTCTTTGGATCATCATGTCAAAGACTGTCAGGCTGTCAAGTGCTGGAAGTGTGGGGAGTTGGGACACAAAGGGAAGGAGTGTATGAACACTGAACTGTGTAGTTTGTGCAATCAGAAAGGCCACTCCTACATCAAGTGCCCGGAGTCCTACAGTAACAGAGCACGCAATGCAAAGCACCCAAACAGCGCACCACAGCCCAACGCAGAGCCCACTGACGCCCAAACTGATAGCAGTGCAGCAGAAGCCACCTCAGCGCAAAACCTGGGAGAACAGCAAAGCACGACTATTAGATATGCTGAAGACCAAGCCCACCTGAACAACGAGAAGGAGGAGGAGGAGAAGACCACCACATCCAGCAGTGACAACACCAGCAGCAGCAGTGCCAGCTCCAGCTCAGAGTGTGACATCATAGATGAAGATTTCCTACCCCTGCCTGATCCTCGGCCTGAAAGAAGAGGAGGGATGGAAGGAGCTACGGCCACAAAACCAGTGTCTGCCATGACCCTGGTCACCTCTACTCCACCACCGAAGGCTGCAGGTGAAGTTTTTCAATCTACTCATCATGACACTGATAATAAAAATCCAGTGGACACTCCCCCAACACAACGGCCCCCTAAAATGAAGAGGGAAAAAAAGGTCATGCCTTCAGAAATAAGCACAATAAAAAAGATGAGAGAATGAGCACTTACAAGATTATATTTATTCTGCACACATAATATGGATAATTATTTATATATCATTATATTATTAATGTCCTTACATATATTTTCTATAAATATTAGGGGGATCAAATCAGAAAAGTATAGACAAAAGAAAATAAATTGTTTAAAGAAAGCGAAATGTGATGTTGTCTGTGCTCAGGAGTTGAGATGAGAATCATTAATGTGTATACTCCTCCTGACAGGGCGGGGAAAATGAGGATTTTTAATAAGCTGTATGAACTACTGGGTGTTGGTTTCCATGTAGTGCTCTGTGGTGATTTTAACACCATCACAGACATCAGAGACAGAATCCCAATGAAAGACATGGAGCTCACCAGAGAGGGGAAACTGCTCAAATCAGTCTGGGAGATCTGCAACATGAAAGACATGTTTAGAGAAAAATTTCCAAATGATCTCGGCTTCACGCGCATCAGTAACACAGTGAAAACATGCATTGAACAAATTTATGTAAACAGTTCATCAGAAACAAGAGTCATCAGCTACAAGACTGAATACCTGATGGAGTCAGGGCATTTGGGAGTGAATGTAAAGTTGAATCTGGGTGTTGTTGAAAACAGAGGCTACTGGAAACTCAACACACAGTGTCTAAAACAGAGTAATGTGCTTTTAGAGTTAGTTAAAGAGGTGGAGGGAATAAAGAGCTTGAAGGTTTTAACTAGATCTGATACAGAATGGTGGCATGTTTTTAAAGAGCAAATAAAGGTCTTTTTTAAACGTAAATGTAAAGAACTTCACCTGCAGAGAAATGAGTGCTACAATAAATTAATGTGTGAGTATGTCGACCTCCAAACGAGCCCCAGCAGAGGTCTAGATGAAGAAAATAGATTGACTGAAATTAAATTGCAGTTAGAAAAATTAAACAACAAAATGTTTTTAAATACACAAGTTCAAGCAGGGTTTGGTTGGAACTTTGATGGAAATGCGCGAGATGTGATAACTAAAAAACGGAAGGAAAATAAACGGATTGAGGGAATTAAAAATGAGAATGGTGACATTGTCGAAAATGAATATAATAAAAGAAAAATTATAAGACAGAAATTTATTATGATTATAAGAGAGTGAGAATTGATGAAACTAGACTTAGACGTTTTTAGACTCATGTCCGACATTACAGGGAGAAAATCTGAAGGTCTTAGAAGAACCAGTGAAGAAGGAGGAAGTGCTGAAAGCCACTAATGAGCTGAACGTGGGTAAAAGTCCAGGTCCTGATGGTTTGCCAGCTGAGTTTTATAAATCTTGTCCAGA